GCTTTCAAACTGTGGTGCTGGAGAAGACTCCTGTGAGTCCCTTGGACTGCAATAAGACCAAATCAGTTAATCTTAAAGGAAATCAACTCTGAATATTTATTGGAAGTACTGATGGTAAAACTGAAGTTTCAATACTTTGGCCATTTGATCTGAAGACCAGCTCATTGGAAAAGACCTTGATGCTGGGGAAAGAGTGAAGGCTATAGGAGGAGTGGGTGGCAGAGGATGTGATGATTAGATAGCATCACTGACTCAATGGATATGAATCTGAGCAAGGGTGCCTGCAGCCCATAAGGTCACAAAGAGTCGGACACAACTTAGCAACTGAACAGCATCTTAAATGGATAAAATATCCTTCCAGGTTTGTAACAAGGAATTTATGTTGTTGCTAAGTCTTGTCCAACTATTTTGTGGCCCCATGGACTGTAACCTGCTGGGCTCCTCTGTCCATGGAACTTCTCAGGCAAGAATACTGGAGTGGGCTGCCATTCCCCGCTCCAGGAGATGTTCCCGACTTCTGGATCAAACCCGGGGTCTCCTACATTGGCAGGCAGATTCTTTACTGCTGAGGCACCAGGGAAGCCCAAGGATTTTATACTTTTTCCTAATCACGTTTTTTTCTTTGGTACACATGTTTCACCAAGTTATAGTGAAACATACTGAAAAGTCAGAATTGTTTTTAGCTTTCAAGTAACAGGAAGGTCTCAGTTGTGCTCTAAAACAGGCATATGAAACCATGGCTGCTGCAGTGCTGGCCTCCTCACTAAGGACTGTCTGTCTCCTGACAATCCTGGGAGCAACATCCTCCCAATAAACCAGGCTTACATCTGGTTATTATGCTTTCCTTCTGAAGTCCTCTCTTTACTGTTTCTTATACCATGTTCCCTTCTTCACATTTTATTAACGATTTCATTCATTTATTCATCTATCAAATGTTTACTAAGCAACTAGTCCATGCCAGGTACTGTGCTGTATGTGGAAGACTCAGTGGTGAGCAAGACCAGTGGTCCTTGAAGCACGCACCTCGCAACCTCATGCATCTCAAATTCTTTCCCAGTCTCCTCTCCTATTTGCAGTCTGTGCTTGGCTGCCTGATTCTTCTGCTGTAAGTAAATAGCCTTCCCGTTTTATTTATTTTTTTTCCCCTCTGCTTTTGTGTCTCTTCTCATGCTGGGAATGTCCTAACACTCATCTACAGAAATTCTACTGCTTTTGAAATCTCATTTTCCCAAGAGATTTTCCTACACAAATCTTTTTAATCTCTTCCAGTTGTAATCTTGCCTTTCTTGGATTTCTTTTACTACATTTTTATTTCTTTTTCAACTTTTACCTTTTGTCATCATCATATGTATAAGTACCATTATATTTACCCACTGCAATCTCTAAAAGACTAACTGTCTCTAAACCTCAGTGCATTATACCACCAAGAATTTGTTCTGTTAAGAGTTCATAGTGGGGAAGGGATAGTTAGGGAGTTTGGAATGGACATGTACACATTGCTGTATTTAAAATGGATAACCAACAAGGACCTACAAGTACCTACTTATAGCACATGGAAGTCTGCTCGATGTTATGTGGCAGTCAAGATGGGAGGGGAGTTTGGAGGGAGAATGGATACATGTATATGTGTGGCTGAGTCCCTACACTATTTACCTGAAACTGTCACAATATTGTTAATCAGCTATACCGCAATACAAAATAAAAAGATAAAAAATTTTTTAAAGTGTTCATAAAACATGAGAACTTTTACAGAAGACTTCATTGGGCCAGGTCAACCAAAACATAATGATTAATATGTTATTCCAGGTCTTTTTGAAAATTAACAAAATAAAAACTGGCACATTTTAAAAAATAATTAGGTATGCCTTTGTTTCTGGTAACATGGGATTCGGCTCCCAGGTGTTAGTCCTGCACATTTCCGAAAGCCCATCTCTAACCTCTTTGTGACCAGAAGAATTCATTTAAGAAACTGTCGCCTAAGTGAAAAATAAGTGCCTCACAACACTCGCCCATTTAAGCACCTAATTACAGGGTCAGTCAAGAGTCAACCTGCTTCCTAACAGATTGCTTCCAGTGTGTGGGTTCCTGTCTACCCAGAGTTCAGTTAGGGGGCCCCCACTCTTGGGTCCTGGCATACTTGGATGTCATTGCCCTGACTTTGAACTCTGACTCCACAAAATCTTAGTGATGTAGAATTCGGGGGTTTTGAAAAAGGACAAATTGTTCCCTCAGTCATTTCTCCATAGGTTACAAATGAAAACCACTGTTTTCTGTGCCTTCTCTGAACATAACTGTGCCTAAAATCGTGGAACACTTTTTAGGTTCTTATAAAAATTCTATGAAATAGGATTTCAGGGTTAAAAAATATATGCCTTTAAAATGTTGATTAAATTGTCAGACAGTGCTCCAGCAAGGTTGTTTCAAAACATACTTCAACAGAAAATGAGTATGTATAAATTATTTTGCCATGTCATTAAAGAGTTCATCACTTTTTATAGAAATTGCTAATCTGAATATAAAAATATACATTCATGGTTTTAGTGAGAAAAGTTTAATGACTATTTGTACATTTTTCTGTGACTTAAGTGTTAATATTTGCCCCATTTCCTATTTTACTCTTTATCTTTTCCTTATCAACTGGCAGGAGCCCCTTTGTATGTAAAGGTATTAATTCTCTGTTGAATATATTACAAATATTTTTCAAGTATCATTAGACTTTAAATGTATAGCTCTTTGGAGTTTTTGAAATATGGTTTTTAATATTTAAATAGTAAAACTGTAATTATTTCACATATCTTTTGGGAATTATCCCACTCTTAGACCCTTCACAATTACTAAAAATATATTTCCTTCCAGTAAACTATCTTCCTACGTTTAAAACTTTTATTCATCTGAAGTTTATTTTTGTTAAAGGTAGAGAGTAGGATATAATTTTATAAAAAGCTAAATAATAGGAGGGATTGTAGATTATTGAAACTTAAATTAGCATTATTATTGCTTTTTTGTTTAAAAATCATTTGATCCATAGATTTTTTAATATTGGAAAAATTAGAATGATTTTCCTAAGCCAATTTATAGGTAAATAATCACCTCTCTTTAATCCCTGTCATTTAAATTGGATTTATGCATTAATTTCAAGTAGACAAAATAATAGTGAACCCAGTAATGACTGCATATTAATATATAGTCCAAAGAGCTTTCCCCATGAAGGTTTTTCTGAAAGAGAAAACTAAAATAGTATTTATTGGAAACTTGGTTAAAAAATCTAACCAGGGTAGATGCATATATACTGATACAGAAGAATGTCGACCAAATATTTTTGACTTAACAAAACAACTTGTGGAATGAGAATCTGGAATATTATCTCATTTCTGTGTGACAAAGAAATTTATACACATTCATACAAGCTTACAAGTTTTTATTTTAAGTCTAGAAAGAAACACATGAAAAGTATCATAATAGTAGAGGCTAACAGAGGGCTGTGGTTTGAAGAACGAGAGAAGTCTCTTTATTCATAAATGTCAGGGTCCTCGTTGTACTGTCAAGCACTCATTTCCTAAAATTCACCCTGGATCCATTAGTGATACATGAAAACCAATACTGCTACACTGTATTTTGAAAAGCCTTAAATTACAACATACACAATATCTGAAAAGTCAAGTTACTATATATATTACTGACATGATATCCAGGAAAAGGAAATGCTTTTACATTTTCCCCCTCAAATACATCAAGGCATGCCATCTCCTTTAACTGATTTAATACACATAACCACATAAAAATTTCATGGAAAGTACAGCTTAAATGCTGTTTTACCTATCTACGTTCTTGTCTCTGAAGGCTGCTTACCACTGAGATTCAACTAATTCTGGGAACTGTGCTACCTTCCTTAAACTATAGGTTTCCATTAGTCGATGGCGAGTCCCACATTGGTTCACTCTTTCCTAAGACACCAGTCATTTTCCTAACAAGACACACATGCCTGATGAGTGAGCTCCTCTTCTGCCTGCCTCCCTGCCCTTTGGGTGTTTCTAAGAAAATACAGTAAGAGAAAAACATGAAAGAATAGCTAATAAATTTAACAGAAAATTAGCATTTATTCAGTGCTAAAACACTTTCACATCATTTTCACTTTAGAATTATTCAGTCTAAAAAATAGACTAAGAGCTAAGGCAGATATTTATTGACTTACAGATTCTTTGGTTTATGCATATTTATGACATGGGGTATAATGAGTTGCCTGGTCTCTATACCAGAAACAGATTAATTAACCAATTAACTAATAGTAATAATAACTCAAATTTATTGAGTAGAAGGCTTTTATTCTGCAAGGGATCAAACAATCCTTCACAGTGCAAAAATGCGTTACTAGGAACATTTTTTTCTCTTTCTGAATGCCTTTCTCTATTTGTCCTTGAAAGCATAATAAACTCCATAGATGTTTTGAAGCACAAAGTGCTGTGGTTTCTAAAATAGATGGGAGCCGGCTTGGGACGTACTTCCCACCAAACTGCCTTTGCAGTAATCAAATATAGGGCTGAAAACCTGTTCAAAATAAAAGCACTGGTGGAGTAGAGGCTGTATCTGGTCTGGAGCTTTCTAGCTCCTCACATATCTAGTTTTAGTCTAGAATAATCCTTGATAATGTTTGTAAAATTAAAAGCTGAAACATGTGTCTGTGTGTAGAAAAAGAAAATTGTACCCTTTCCAACAATTTACCAATTTGCATAACTGAACCTAAAATGTTTAGATTTTAATTAAAAAAAAATTTCCACAGACAATTATAACATGTCATTTAATTTTATATATAAAATCAAATGTATGAAGGACTGCTTTATCCATTAAAACCACGCTCAGCAACAGGCTTTTAATATATTAATACACTACCCAGATCCTTAGTTATAAAAATATAATCAGGTTTATGTTTTGTGTTTAATTGTAGATGCTAATACTGCTTTCTGTATTATTTTTTCAGGAATGAATTTCTATTATGATTTGAGGGAAAATGGGATATCTGTCAGTTACAAAATGAAGCAAACCTTGAAGAAACTCCAATATTTGAGGAAGGTAGGAGAATCCATATGCTTACTGATTTTTACTCATTCTATAAAATTTGTGCTAGTTTAAAGCAAACACACACAAAAATTAAAAAATGCAATCTGCATCTCCCATATACAATTAGAAAGGTGAAGGGAAATTAATTTTACCATCTCTGTGCTTGCAGTTAGCAAAATCTGTTCTTTAATCTATCCTTTTTCAGTGTTCTACTGTTGATCTTAAGATACTTTTACGGATAAAAATGTTCAAAAGAGCTCATTTATACTTCTCTATGGGAATTTTTCCTTCATTGACAGAAACCAATAACTATTTTTAAAAGGATTTTTTTATTGATTGACTAAATGAAAAAGATCTACATGGACTTTGCTCATATTGTACCAAATACATTTCAACATTTTTAACTAATGACTTAATTTCATAGAAAATTACAAACAGATAGGGATATACTGGTTACAAAAAATATATATCTTACAAAGATATGAAAAACCATTGGTGGAACAGTAGGAATGAACAAATAGCACAAGAATGCATAAATCAAACATGGTGTAAACAAAAGTGCCAGCCATTCATTTTTAGATCCATTGAGCTCTAGGTTGCTGGAGATAGTTAGTAGTAAAAACGGTCTCCCATCAAAGGGTTGGTAGAGAGCAGTGTGATTGGCAGCACAAATTGAAAACAAAGGAGAAAGCTGCAATCTGCAGCCGATGCACAGGAAGAACATGGGGAGCTGAGTTTACAATAGAGATGACATTACCAAGCTAATGGCACGGGCAGTCATGGGGCCACCACACATCCTGGGTATCAGCAGGGCATCCGTTTTCAGCTAAGTGTTAGAGTACCTTTTTGCTTTCTCTCACCACTGCAGGGGTAAAACAACCTGGTGCAGGAAACCCACTGACTGGTAATAAATTACTATATTGGATACTTTTTGTTTTCTTTCAGCAATGACTTTACTGTGTATTCTTGCTATCGTTACCAATTAAAGTAGAGCCTGCTTTAGCAAACTGTATCTAACCGTACATCAGTCCCGATGCTCCAATTGCTTTGGCAAGTATCACAGGGTCAAGAGGCTCCTTTGACCTTTATCATCTAAGTCTTTCTGACCACTCACTATTTGAAGCAATCTGAGCTGAACAGATGGACACTTTCTGTGACACTATAAAGCTTAGAATATAAAGATAAATGAAATTGTGTTTCAGGCTTCAAACTGGTTTATGAGTGTAAAATATTGTTAGTGTATCCAACAAAATCTCCAGTTTTAAAGAACATCCTCTAGCTCTGGCTAATTGACAAAACTGCTTGCTTCTTTTTTAATTGTAGGTTTTGTTTTTTAGCCTGAGGAATAGAATTTTGTAAAGCATGGCTGAGGCTTACTTGGTTACATGATTACTATAACAGACCATTTAAAAATGTAGGGTTTACTTTTCATTACTGTTCAATGATATTATTGCATTTTTTAAAAAAAATTACTGATGCAAAAGAAAGTTATATACTAAAAAATAAGATTTTAAGTGTTGAATAAAGTAAAAGTAAAGATTTTAATTGCTCTTTGACTTAAATTTTCTCTTAAACTATGGTACTCACCTACTAGCAGAGTATACTATTTTTACATATTTTTACATATCTGGATATAAAAGGAAAATGATTAAGCATCAGTTTTATATTTTATTAACTTGTATATGTTAGCATATCATCATGGTTATTTGAATATTTTGAAGATTTTAACCTAAAGAAGATGTATTTTTTATTCACTTGAACTAAAGGCTAGTCTCCTTTAAGTAAAGTGACCATATAATTTATTGTTCAAACCAAGCAACTTTTGAAAGTGAAATAGTGCATTGTTAATAATTACATTGGAACAACAGGCATATACCAGGATTGTCACAGTGATCCTGGCTGTAAGGTCACCTGATCTTTAAGGAATATAACAACAAGTATGCTTAATTTTTTTAAAAAAATTCTATATTTCTTATTACTCTTGAAATATGACTGTTGTTCTACAAATCACAATTATAACTGTCTATTTTTTAAATGACTTTAAAAAAGATACCTTTCTTTAAACTTGCAGGTTCAATTTATTTAGTTCCGATTCTTGAAAACTTCTAATTTGTAGTAAACAAAGAAAAACTAACCAAAGTCTCAATTATAAGAATATTACTCTATTTTTCAAAACTTTTATTTCTATATTTTGTTCTTATAAGATTTTTGTTACTAGAATCTTATATGGTATATCCAAAATAATCTCTCAGCAATCCACTTAATTTCTATAAGGCGAACAGATTTGCTTGTAGGCAAGAGCAAAACAAGAGACATAACTGAGTTAGAGTTAAACAAACCACGCACCACCTTTGGAGAATTAACTAGTTTAGTGAGAGGAGAGATAAGAAAAGGAAAGAAGAAAGTAAACAAAATTACCAGCGGGTTAGAAGGAATATTTCAGAGCATCTAGGAATGGAAATTGGCTAACATACTAGAAACAAAATTTAGGGGCAAATGCATCCTTCTCAACAAAAAAGAACCACAACCACAGGTGTGTCTCAGTTTCTGAAAAGGGACAAAAATCAATACCAGCCTTAATGTTTTAGGGTTTTATAAATAATTCTGAGAACAAATGCACAATACAATCTTCTTTCTAGGCAATGAAATACCCATGTGACAGAAATCAACTAGGGGCAAAAGCTCTGAGAGAGTTAAGGAAAAAATGGCAAGTTGAAGGGTGGACAAATAGGAATTGTGGAAAATAATTCACATAACCAAATGCTGTGGACTGAAAGTGTGTCAGGACCCCACCCCCAACCCCAATCCATAGGTTGAAATTGTAATCTCCATATGATGGTATTTGGAGATGAGGACTTTAGGACTTTGAAGATGTAGATGGGGACTTTGGGACACGATGAGGTTTGGGAGATGATGAGGTTATGAGATCATAAGAAGAGTTCAAAGATCTAGCTTGCTTTCTCTCCACCATATGAGAGTTCAATGAAAAGACAGCCATATGCAACCAGGAAGAGGGCCTTTACCACTCCAGTTTGGGAGCACCTTAATCTTCCCAGCCTCTAAAACAATGAGAAATAAATTTCTGTTGTTTACAAGCCACATCATTTATGATATTTTTCTAGAAGAGCCCAAGCTAAGTGTATATTTTTTTAAATTTAGGAATAATTAAGAGTTTTTGTTGATAAACTTATCTGACTTTCTACTGAAGCCAAAATATTCCTCTTAAATGTAGGGTTTCATCAGTATTAGACAATCCATAGAAAAGAGTGTCTTATCTTGGTACAAGGCAATGGTAAGGATGTCGTCAGAATGCTGGATAAATTTGGCTAGATCTCAGGAAAAGAAATGTTTCACTATTGTAAAAATCATAATAACACAGAATATGAAATATTAACTCAGACCCCAAATTCTGAATTACAGATGAAACTAAAGATATTGATGTACATTTTGAGATTTTTTTTTTTAATCAGTAAGAAAAACAAGAGACATTTGAAAACCATCCTTACCTTTATAAAAGCAGAATTTACTATATTGCTTTTGCTTTTCATATGTAGGCTACTCAGCATCCTATAAACTATTCAATGAAACTAACAGAAGAAAAATACTATGACTTTTAAATCAGTGGTATCATACTGATGCTTTCCAAAAATCATACTAATAAGCTTATAATTGCCCAAAAGGTCAGAAAGGATGTGAGCTGAAAATAACTTAGAACGGGGCGACCACTAAATAGATAAAGGGGGAAAATGCGTCTTTTCTTTGGAATGATTCTTATATATACTTATATAAAGAATAATCAGCCAAACAAGTATTTTGGATACATGTCTCGGTATGGCCACCAAATATTTTAGTCAACTCATTTTAAAGCATACCTGTTAAATTGAAACCAATATGTAGAGAATACCCTCACATAAGTGTAAAATGTAAAGTTAGTAAAATGCCTAAGCAAGGACATGCATTATTTCAATTGACTACACACAATAAATTACCACATAGCTGGTAATTGACAAATTCAAGTTTGAAGGCTACCTTCAAGAAGTAAGAAGTTGGAGAAATAAGACAAAAATGTCCAAAAAGCCAAAACAGACTTCACAAATCAAAGAGCTCCAAAATTGAGTGCAAACAGTTATACATTTTAGTGAAGAGGAGAGATTACAAGATTATCTGTTAATAATAATGACCAAAAACAATACTTTCCAGTGGAAAGCTTCCACTTCGTGTGGCTTATTACACTCAATTATAATAGAATCTAATCACAGTATTGCCTACTGCAGAGGTTAGAAAACAATGTCCAGAAGACCAAATATTGCCTTTTTTATGAATAAAATATCACTAAACCATATAAATGCCCACTTTTTTATGTATTGCCAATGGATATTTTGGCATTATAAAAACAGAGTTTAGTAGTTGTAATAGAGACTATATGGCCCATCAAGCTAAAAATATTTACTATCTGAACCTTCACATAAAATATCTGACAATTCTTGGCTTATTCTAAATGAACAAGAATTTTAAATGTATACAAAATTTTTTTTAGACAAAAGCACAATATAAAGATAAAACAGGCAATTTAAGGTGTTAAATCTCCTTGATTCAGGTAAGTTATATTCTAAAAAAGGACCTTTTATTAAGATTGCATTGGATGTTCTTATACCACCTCTGTGATTTTCCACTACAAATATAAGTTTCTCTCAGGAGACCAAGTTCAGGTTCAAAGCCTTCTTATTTTCCTGCAGGGCTATAAAGACACTCAACTTCTACTGTTCCCACTATATACTCAGTCTCCAGGTATATCAACTTCCCATCATCCCTCTATTCACCATTCATCTTTGTATTATGAACTTTTGCACTTACTGTTTCCCCCAGCAAAATCTGACTCATGCATCAAGATTTAGAACCAGCATGACTTTCTACATTCGTTTTGTGAACAGTATGGGTCTCACCATTATAGGGTTCTAGTAGTACTTTGGGATGTAGGTCTATTAAAGCACATGTATTGCATCATAGCTTTTATCAATTTGATGTTAAAAAAACTCAGCACCAAATAACAGTTTTCTTGTAGCAGCTATGCAATAGCATCTTTCTGACACTCCCTTTCCTCTAATCCATTTATCCACATAGCAACCAGAGTGATCTTTTCAAAACATGAATCAGACTACATCACTCCTTTTAAGATAAACCATGAGCCCCCCCCTCCCCCTTACTAAAGCAGAACTCAAACTCTGTACTTGGGATTACCACATCCAGCAGAAACTCTGTACTTTGGATTAGTGCATCCAACAGTGTCTGCCCCTACCTCACTCTCTAACACTGACTTCTAATTCTCTGATCCACCTCTCCAGTCACACTTGTTTTCTTGACTTCATTTCCTACATCAAGCTCATTCCTAATTAGATCTTTTGCAATAGCTGTTTGCTTTGCCTAGAAAACTCCCCCCTCTGCTAGCCACATGGCTGGCCCCATCTTGCCATTCAGACAATATAAATGCTACTTCCTTCTGTGACCTTCTCTAATCACTCAGCCTGGAATAAATCCCCAGGCACTGTCTATCACACTGTCTGATGTTAATTCTCCACAAAGCCTTCATCACTATCTAACATCCTTGTTCTTCTTTTAAAAATTATAGTCTAACTCCTACTAGAAATATGCCATGAGTGCCAGAACTTTGTTGAAATCCCTAGTATCCAGAAGAATGTCTGACAAGAAGGAGTGGACTCTGAAGAGCCATGGGGGAAATTCTGAGTGTGATGGAAGGGGTCTATATTGTGACTGTGATGACAGGTAAGTTTGTCCAAACCCACATAACTATAAAATACAAAAAATAAAAAAACTAAAAAAGAGTGGCACATAGTAGGTGTTCATTGTATATTTGCTGAATGAACAAAAAAGACTGTTCTGCATTCCACACTATAAAACTTACATAACATACAGATATGGCTTTTGTTTCAAGTAGCTTAAGATCTAGTTGGATCTTCCCTGGTGGCTCAGTGGTAAAGAATCCACCTCCAGTGCAGGAGCCGCAGGAGATGCAGGTTCAATCCCTAGGTCAGAAAGATCCCCTGGAGGAGAGTATGGCAGCCCACTCCAGTATTCTTTCCCAGAGAACTCCATGGACAGAGGAGGCTGGGGAGCTATAGTCTACTGGTTCACAAAGAATCAGACACGATGAAGTGACTGAGGACACATGCACAAGATCTAGTTGAGAAGATGAATTGTATATATGCTTGTAAAATAGCTAGGCAATCCATAATTAACTTACAACTGTTTAATTAGCCAATGCATGTTAAATAGCATGTGTATATTGTAGTATGGGTAGGATTTAACAAGGTGGAGAAAAGAGCATCTCTGTATGTGGGATTAGGCAGGGAGAGATACATGCAGAGTGGAATCAGCAGGATAGCCATGTGGAGGGGCACTGGCCTTCCTGCTATTACCAAGACATCTTCTCCCTGGAGGAGGAAAAAACCTTACAAGAAGGAAGAGCAAATTCCATGAGAATTGGTATCTCCGGGAGCTTTAAAACAGCATGCTACCCTACATTCCCACAGTAAGGAGTAATCCAAAGCATTTATTGTCATACACATCACGGGTAGAATCAGCCCTCTTTTCACCAACCTCTGATGAGAGGTTCAGCACATTTCAAATGATCTATGAAAGTAGGACGTGATATTTGCCACTTGAGGGATGGAGGATTGTGCCAGAGACTTTGCATCTGGGAAATGAAACATAAATCAGGCCTCTTCATATTTATTACACTTACATTTCTAAAAGTTATTACAAATCTGTTGATTAGATTGTTGCTGGCTTCGGGGGTTTTGTATCAAGGGGAGGGCTTAGTAAAGTAATTATTTGAAGGAAGCAGAGGGCTCATGATATACAGTACAATCCTCAGGCTATTTTTGAGTGCTTATTTTAGATAACTTTGTTACAAGAAAAAGGAGTCTGAATTTAAGGCAATAATAGAAACTTTTCTAGTGTAAGAAACCATTTAACCACATTGCCTTTTAATCTTCCTTTTCTGAGTCTATATCAGTTTACCTATCTTACCTGTAGAGGACCATTCCTCTCTAGTATGCTAAATATCCTAAATTTCATCACCAGTTTTAACAAATTTTTTCTTATAAAGTTTTGAATTGATTTGGACTGGTCTCAATATCAGTATGCCTTTCAAACTTTTGAATTGATTGAAAACTTGTGTCTAAGTATTGGTGGGGTAGCAGTTGTATTTCAACAACCTCTTTGATATCACTGTTTTTTTTTTACTAGGTCACTTCCCTCTGTAAGATCAAGTCACACATAAAAACCCAATTTGGACTTCAAGCAATTGACTGACAAAGTAAATATGCATGGTGAAGAGGGGGCAAATCACTGTCCACTTTGAGATTATGCTGTTGGGAAAATGGGGAAGATAAAAAATGAAATAAAAAAGATGTTGAGACAGAGAATAAGGGAAAGTGGGATGCTACTTATTTTATGAGAAAGTGACATTGAAGCTTGGACTTCAAGGTAAAGAATCAGAGGGAAAATATTCTGGCAGGTGATAAGCAGTAGGGGAATATGAGTTACTTTAATGAGACCAAGTAGGTAGAGATTAAATATCTAGGTTATGGTCCCAGATCTGTAGTTGATGTTTTTCAATATCTTTTTCTTTACAATTTTGGATTTTATTCCCAGGATGATTACAAGTCAGATGAATAATAATGGAAGGTCCACTTCTTAGGCTCTTTTCTTCCCATCTAAGGTCATGCTGGTGGAATGACCAAAGACCAGTTCATAAACTGTGTTGTGTATCCGACAGATTGGGAAAACATACAGCTGAAGAATATGTGCAATCTCCAGCCCAAGATAAGCATCAAAATCAAATTTAAAACTCAGAAAGTGGGCTAAGAGTAGTTATTGTCCCCAGTTTAGGAGCTACAATATAAATTACATAATAATAGTAATAATAAGCAGTTTTAATTTTATGAACATCCTAAAATTCTAAAGGAGATATTTTCCAGTGTTGATTACTCATCCAGGTGTCCAGCATGTGAAACTCCCTGAAGGAACAGACAGGGTGAAGAGGTCCAAAAGAGAAACAAGAGTTTGATTCAAATTTCAGAAATGATTAGTACCAGTACAGCTAATCAGGATAGCTAACAACTTAATCAGATGTGGAATGTTCCAGAACTGGAAGAAGAGAGAAGTGATTCAGCAGTCACTCTGAGTTAGAATGATTCCATCTATAGGTAAAATTGTAAGATTGCCCTCAATAGTCTTAGACCATAGTGAAGCATATCTTCTTCCATTTACCCAACCAAATGGTAATCTAGCTACTGCCATGAAGGAATTGTGCTGATATAACTAAGGTTCCAAATCCGCTGACCTTAAGATAGGAAAATTATCTGCATTGTCCTGAGTTAATCACATTGAGTTTTTGAAAGCAGACTTTTTAATGGCTGGTGGCTGAGAGAGAAATCAGAGACTTAAGAATACTAAATGAATTCCATTCATAAGAAGTTTTCCATTGCTGTCTTGAAGATGAAAAGGACTATATGGTAAGGAGTGTGTGCCCCCTCCCAGGTTGACAGTCAGCAAGAAAACAGGCACCCCGGTCCTATAACCACAAAGAACTAATTTCTGCCAATAACCTAAGCTTGCAAGAGGACATCAGCCTCAGATGATATAGTAATCGCAGCCCACATCTGGATTTTAGTCAGGTAAGACCCTGAACAAAGAAGCCAATGTCATACAGATTTCTGGCATAGGAGAAAGGTGATATATTAAGTGTGCGTTCTTCTAAGCCTTTACTTTTGTGGAAATTTGTTAAATAGAATTAGAAAAACAAAAACACCATCATTTTTAAGTGTTCATGTGCAAGAAGCCAGAATGTTCATCAATGAGATCACTGGTTCCTAAAGAGGCAGCCTGGAAGGATGATGTATACTAAGCAGATTAATCAGACAGGGAAAAGAAAAATCAGAGCTCCAAGCAAAAGCTAAAACCTATCAACTAATCACAGCAAAGCCAGGGTATCCTGAAATTCAGGGACTATAAAAACCTCCAAAACCAAATTTTATTAATAGTATACAAGATCCCAAGCTTAGTTGGCAAAGAATGTTCAAGAAGATGGGGTGGGGAAGTGAAGAGAGAACAACACAGAAACTCAGCCATGAGAGAAATTTGGCAGGTCTGGCTACAGGGTCCATCAATCAGTGGATTCAGCTCTGCTGGAACCAAGAAATCAGAGACGGGAACAAGGAAGTCTTGTTTCTGGCTCTGAACCCAATTTTATACGATTCACTCAAGACTGGGCTCCAAAATCCACCTAAGAAAGGAGAGAACGGATAATTTAACCACTTCTAGTCCTAATAGGCAACAATGCTAAAACTAGGAATAAAGGGTCTGATGAACCTGTCTCCTTCCACTTCTACTTTTTATGCATCCAAATTATTATTTTAGTTTAAGGAACAAAGACAAGAAGACATTTGCTACTAGAGAGTAAATGGAGAGGGTCAAGTTTTGCATAATGAGACTGCTAATGGGAGCTGAGAAGAAAATAATAAAGGTGAGTACAACTTTGTATTTTGTAAGCTTTCATAATAGCATTAACCCTGAGAAAACCATAATTTGAAAAGACACATGTACCCTAATGTTCGCTGCAGCACTATTTACAATAACCAGGACATAGAAGCAGCCTAGATGTCCATCAACAGATGAATGGACAAAGCAGATGTGGTATATATATACAATGGAATATAACTCAGTCATAAAAAAGAATGAAATTGAGTCCATTGAAGTAATGTGGATGAACCTAGAGCCTATCATACAAAGCGAAGTAAGTTAGAAAGAGAAAAACAAATATTGTGTATTAATGCATATACATGGAATCTAGAAAAATTGTACCAATAAACCTATTTGCAGGGCAGGAATAGAAGTGCAGATGTAGAGAACAGACTTGTGGACACAGGGAGGGGAAGAGAGGGAGGGACGAATTGAGAGAGTATCAATGACATATATGCACTACCACACGTAAAATAGATACCGAGTGGGAAGNTGACTGAGTGACTGAACTGAATGGAAACAATTGTTATAAAAAATAAAATAAAAACCATCATGTCCCAGACATTATGTGAAAACAACAACAACAACAAAATAAAATTTTAGTTTTATTTGGATGTGCATGAAGTTAAACATGTATATAAGAAAGGCCTTGCTACCTAGCAGCCTCTTATGACCATTTAAAAAATATCTGGTAGGAATAATCATACATGGACTGAAAGCTTAGGGAGGATATTTCGATTTAGGACAAAACAACTATTTCCAGAGTATTGTGAGCTTCATAATATGTAGAAAATTACAAATAATGTAATTTATGTCATTATTTGTATTTAATGCCATGAATACCATATGAAGATACAGAGAACTAGTTGTACCTTCAGGATGTCACTATTAAAACCCAGTTCAGAAACCTGGATGAGAATATTAGCTGGATATATTTTTTTAAAATTTCATGCTTTTAGGTCCAATGAATAAAGCTAAAGTCTTAATACATTTTGTTTTTAGCAACTTAGGGGAAATATTCTGTGAGAATAGATGCTTTCTTTTATGAAAATCGCTTCATGTTACATGTTTGCATTTGTTGGTCTCTTAGGGCCAGTTTCAATATAAGTCACTGGTACAGAAGTTAGTGCACCTGTTGGGATTCCTTTAAATGGGTCCAGTTGGTACTCTCAGCCAGTAAGTGATATGATCACAACTTTCAAAAAGAAAGTTTTTATTATCTTTGTTTTCTTTCTAGTTATAAGCCATTAACCCTTTTAGTAAACTCAAAATCTGTATTTCTACAAACTTCATGATACCCTTCAAGGTATCATCAAAAACGTGATATAAACAGAGAATATTCCTGATGTCAGACAGTGACTTGGTTACCAAGGAAACTCCAAGCTTCTGTAAAGGGGTAACATTTACCATCACATTTTAGCCAGCAAATATGCTCAACAAGAGAACATCCAAATCCATTGAAGTGACTTTTCATCCCAGAAGATTCAGGCCTCTTTCAGTAAGTTGACTAGGTCGATCTTTAGATCCTACAAGAAGCTGGCCTTAACAACTTTGGAAAGTCACAGGGTTTTGTTTTTGTTTTTCGATTGCAACTGAAGAAAGAAAAGTAGGAAAGGACAGGAGAAATGAGAGAGAAACAAAAAGTCTCTAAATGGTTAAGGGTGTGTAATATGGTGTGTACATTATTACATAGTTCATACTTTCTAAAATATGTCCATAAAACTACTGATGATAATGGAGACAAATTAAAAAACATGCTTTAATAAATTATGCTACTCTGTCCCTAGATTAATCCAAATGCAAAATTAAAATGCCTGATATATTTAAACTTTATTCAAGTTTCCAAGCTAGAATTCTCACCCACAAGTTAATTGATGACTAAAATTGGAACATTTAATTAAAGAAGAAAGTTATAATCCTAGATTTCCATGTTTCTTACAGGGTTGATTAATATCATGGGGTGTGGGAAAAGCTACTGAGGTATATCTAGGCTAAATCTAGTACTAAAGAATAACATAAACATTTATTCAGTGAAAAGGTTTACTTTAGAATTAACAGAAGAGATAACAATTTGTAAAATCAACTAAAATCAAAGCAGAACCAATGCTTCCTCTTGAAGAAATGAGAACTGCCTATCAGCAATTACAAAAACAGTAACACTGACCTTGAATCAGCCTTAAAGGTCTTAATACACAATTATATTATCAGCTTAATGAATTTTCAGTTGCTGTCTCAGTCACAAATTGAATAAATGCAGAGCTGATCAGTAATAGGAAGACAACTATTTTAACAGCTTTCACTGAAAGAGGCAATTGAAAAAGTACTCATTATACCAGCTTTTTTCATGTTAAAAATGATAGCTGTTTCAAATCCTGCTTAGCACACCTTAGATGAAAACTTAATGACATCTCAAGTAAACAATAAAAATTCAAAATAATATTCAGTCAAAATTAGTAATTATCTAAATAAATTATATTTGCAATTTAAGTAAACTATATCTGCATCAGTCAGCTGAAGGGTTTTTATACCAGGAAATTTTTAAAACTAAATATCAGGATTCAAAGTAAACTCTTGAAATATATTCTCATCTTGAGTATATAATTTCGCTTCCTCATCTGTATCTTAAATATAACAGCTAGCAACAGCAGAAAAACCGAATGAAAAAAGTCCTTGTGTGTGGTTACTGTAATTAACAGATTCAATATCTATTACTGCCAGTCAGGTATCATAGCAACCCTGTATTGCTGAAAACCGCTAGAAAAATCTTCAAAACCA